AAAAAAAAAAAAAAAAAAAAAAATACATGAGCAAAATATTTTCTAGGCCTTTGCTTCTGAGGCACTTTTCTGTGGAAAAAAGCTAAGCGAGTCAACTAAAGGGTAGAAGTGCACCGATACATACATCAGGCCATATCATATTGGCACCGATGAAGGGAAAATTGACATCAGCTAAAAAAAAGACGATTGCTGGTAATGTGGCTGATACTGTCGCCAATAAACAAGCCAAGCATGGGCACAGTTGTAGCATGCACGCAGCCAGGAATGCAGCCCAGCAGCTTGGAGAGCAGCGTGGGGTTTGTAAGTTGGGGGAGGGAGAGGGAGTGAGGCTGGGACATGCACTGCCCAGGTCACGGGACAGAGCTGCAAGTGGCTTGTCCGGGGGCCTGGGAAGGAGCAGGTGCAGCTCCCACCACTGCGCGCACCTCCGGGAGAGGCAAAGCGGACATGGGCCCTGAATCTGTGCATGGGGGGAGGGTGGGCTGCTCCTATGGGCTGGGGCTGGAGGAGGCACCAGGCACTGGTTTGGGCCAGGGCTGTGCATGGGGCAGGTGGCAACAGCAACACAGGGAGGGCAACTACAGCCACGCCAAAAATTTGCCATAGCCCCCCTCCTAGCACCACCACCACCCATCCCAAGTGCAGCCTCAGCCCAACAACTCCACTGGGAAGAGCCCAGCCCCAGGCTCACCCTCGCTCCATGCACTGATCCAGGGGGCACATGCCTCCTCTGGGGGTGCACACAGCAGTATAAGCCCCCACCCCACACAAGCATGGCTCCATCCCATGCCCCACCCTGGCTGGGCAGCGCTTGCCCCTGCCCCACTCCCTCCCTCGCCGCAGAGACTTACCAACCCAACACTGCTCTCCAGTGCAATGTGATGTGCAAGCTCTGCCAGGCTTGCACATCAGCAATCAGATTGCTACCAGCCAATATGGCTCGTTAATAATTGGCCATGAGTATCAGCCCAAAAAATATATCTTTCATTGGTGCACCATTACAAAATGTTTAATCAGGTAACATATACACTCCTACTACACACTTCACCTACGTGTGCAGATGGAGACCAATTTTTCCTCATATCCATTTTAAAATGTGGACATCAAAACTGCATTCTATATTCCAATCTCAGTCTAATGCTATAAAGAGGTAAAAGTCATCTCCCTGCTGTTTTGCTTTCTGTAGTTATTTAACCCTACCATCCAACAGCAATGTTGTCTGAATATAAGATAATGAGTTATGGATCACTGAAGGAAGTTGGTTAAGGCTCCCAGCCTCAATGGAGAACAAAGAGAAAATGACCTTCTCATCGAACAGGTGATCCCTAGAGACTGAGCTATGGCAAGCTGGTGGGTCAGTGTGTTGTACCCTAAGCTTCTGCCACTCTCCCAGACCTACTGATTCTAAATGTAGTTTCAAGGTTAAACCTAAATATCTCCACGCCCCATGTTCAATTCCAGATATGAAACCACGATTCAGGATGTGGAACCGTATCACCAGAAGTTGAAATGAGTACATTTTTACTTACTCTGCCAGTTCATAACGAAACCTCCAATTCCTGCTGTTATCAGTCACCACAAATTCTTGAAGCTGATAAAGGTACTCTCGCCTTTTGTCTGCATGAAGCAACTGAAGGAAAAGGTGTTCCACAAACAAGGTATTACTAAATGAAATTGATGAATCCAGCAGTTCAAAATAACAATTTGAAACTTTAGAAGCTGTACCCCTCTGGGATATTTTCTGTTCCTTACTCCTTGACATTGCTATTTATTTGCATTTTCCTGTAAGAAAAAGTTGGATGTTCATAGAAAATGTTTTACTCTCCAGAAAACCACAGGCCAGATTCTAAAAGCTGTAGACATCTAGCTGTAGAAGCTGAATTTTCCAAGAGCTACTGTACAGTTACTGAAAAATCAAGCATGAAACTGCACGATCAAATTAGACACACCTAACTGAAAAACTCTTTTTTAAGTCTTTTAGTCATACTTTGTCCACCAGTCAAGTAGTGAGGAATTGAAGTTTCAGCCCGTTCTCAAATAAGCACACGAGACACCACTTTGAAATGTTTCCAGCTACAGAGCTTTTACCCATTTTTTCCTTGTTGAACTTGACTGGAAAAGTGTAAGAAAAGATACTGGAAAGACCACTCTTGTAGAGGGTCCCAAAAATGGATTAATGATCTAATCTGTTCCTCCCCAACCCCTAAATTAATCATAGTCCTTCCTGCTACAGACCTTGATTACTCTAAATAACACTTACTTTGCACTGGCTTGCAAAAGTAAGAAAAGATCAGATACAGGAGGATTTATTTATTTGGGAATGGAATTCAAAGAATCATAAAAAAGCATTTAAAATAACATATCTGGGGGAAAATAAAACAAAAAAGTGTTTGTTTGTTTTAACTGCCTAAAATGTCTAAAGAAAGTTTTTTTCAGTGTGAAACACAGAGACATCCCTATATCTAAGGAAGTGAAAACCCATGTATTTAAATGACATATCCTCTTACCTTCAGAAAGTCATAGAGATGTTTAAGAACTCCAATGCGCACTTCATCCAGATCTTTCAAGAATCCATTAAAAATCGGCACTAGATCAGCTGCTGTTAGTTGATCCCCTAAAATAACAGCCAGTTCATGTATGGAAAAAGCTAGCGTCCGACGTACCTTCCACTGTTGATAGCAAATAAACAAAAATTCTAGATTAAACACTGGAACTGTAGAAAATACTGAAGAAATAGAACGGGGTTTTTTTGGAGGGTGAGAAGAGGCAAAAATATTTACACAAGCTCCCAAATTCTGTACATGCATTATATTTACGAAACTGCATTTTCTTAAAGCCCTAAGGAGGAGACAGAAGTGGGGGGAGCAGAGAGAAGGAAAAGGGAAAAGGATTTGAACATAAATTTTGCACACTATCAACAGCTTCACGGTTTCTTGTAAGCTTCAGCATTGCTTGCTTGCCTATTTCTAATTTGTATAATGATGTTCTAAATTCTAGTCTGAAAATGTGATTTTACCTGTACATCTGATGCCAAGGTCTCATATGTATCCTTCAAACAGTGCCAATTCTGCCTGCCCAGAGTTAAGGCCACCCCTGGGAGACTATAAGCACAGTGTTTTGCTATTTCAGTGTCAACAGTCTGGGCTCGAGCTGGGTCAGTCATTGACAAGTACTGATCTAATAAAGGCTGAGGTATGATATCCTAAAAAAGAGAGACGGTAAATTATTAACATTAATAAATTAAACAAGGAGATAGATCATCAGTATGGAAAGACATCTGTCCTAGTACAGCATTCTCTTTTGTGCCTCCAACCAGGTGGCAAATGAACCAGGGGAACAAGCCAGTACAGTATAACAAAGTAACTGAACACCCTGCAAATGACACAAGCCATCTTAAACTACAGGACAAGTCACCACCTCAGTGACTTGTCAACCAGCTTAGGTACAGCAGGAAACAACATCAATCTTTGTTACATTATCAACATTTTAGTAAAGGCTGAAACATTATTTCATCCTTGAACAATAGCATTCTGGGTACTGAATCAAGTTATGCAGCAACTAGACTCCTCACAGCACGTCGGAGTGTCTTTTGCACTTTTGAACTCAAAACATTTCACTGCTTATGACACAGGCAGCAGCACAGGGCATAAGAAAAATCCCCCTGCCTGGTGCATAAAATATGGATTTTGCTGAAATCAAGCTTTTTTTCACTTCCCAGTTTCTATCAGAATCACTAGATTCTGCCTACTGATGCCTACACAAAATTTTGCAGGTGATTGGATGCAGTGCTCCTAAATTATTGTGCTTCAGACAGAGAAGTGTAATTTAATTAAGCAAAGAGCCACACATCACACAGACAGTTCAACTTTAACCACCTGTAACTTTGATTTATCGTCTTCAAAGGGTGGATTATCTTGTTCTTTCTTTAAAAAGTCGCTGGTCCCATTGTGTGGCTCCTCAGAGTCCTGCAAAAGAATTATGCTTATATATTTCCATTACAGAACTGGTGGTTGGGATCTCTCAAAGCATCACACCAAGGCAACGCAATTCCATCAAAAAACAGCTTTCCAAGGGCCAAATACAGCCCAATTCCATAAGTAACCATGAGAAAATATTATTCGTGTAAGGCCATGTTACTCTCTACCTTGTTTTGGGTGACACTAAGACTATTTTCACTAGTTTTTACAAAAAAAGATATTTTATTATTAGGTAACATTGCAAAGGATCTGTCAGTGTTCAAATGCTGGAATATAGTTGGGTTTGGGTTTTTTTAATTATACTCTGAAAAGGTGCTATTTTTCTGTGCATTAACAGATACTGACGAAACAGCTCAGTAGTTGCTCCAGGAAAGCCAATACTCCTATAAAATCTTTATGCATTTTGGAGCACCTCAGGTATTTCCCCAAGTTATTACTTTTATTTTCCTACTGACAAGTGCTGAAGATGTTATTCTGATGGACATGTAGGACATTAGTAACTTCCTATGCATTAGCTTTAACTAAAAGACAAAACTAAGCACTGTGCAAAAGCTTTCCTATTTACCCTCATATGCACATCAAGAGCATCATAAAACAGTAAGGCAGGAAGCATGCATTTTGTCATCAACTGATTCAGCCTCCTGCCTAAAGATAAGCGGCTAATTTTAGATTAGATACAGGAAGGATGAAGACTATTTGGTTTGCTGCACATGAGATTCCTGTAAACCTATTTATAAAAACCACAACTTACTAGTTCTTAGCTTACTTAGGCCCCAATATAAATAAGAGCTTTGAATAACATTAAAATGTAATATTTATTAAGTGTTATGGGATAATTATTACCATAATAGTTTTCAGATATCAGGACTGGGGTACTGTTGTGCTAAGAGCTATATAAACAGAGGTAAACATTGTTACCATCATTAAAAGTCCACTTGCCTATCTATGAGGCATGACTGTATACTTACTGTGCTTTTCAGTATACTGGTAGTAGTTTGGTCAATCATGTCATCATGGGATGATGGAGAGGACGAAGCATTCTCTACTGTGGCGATGCTGGCATCCAAAGAAGATATCTGCTTCTGAAGTTTGCCACCAGTCTCTTCCCTGGGTTTGGTCTCATGATCTCGGATGGAATCAAACTGAGCTGCTCTGAGTGCAGCAGACAAGACTTGAACCTGAGCTGTTATTAAGTGAAGGGATTTCAGCTTAAAGTTTTCCTTTAAACACAGTAAAATTTTCCTTGCACTTGGTTTTAAAGCTACAATTATTTATTCCTAAATTAAAATCAAATGCAGTATAAGAGGCTAACAGTGTAAGAAAATAAATGTACACATGGCACAAACGGGCTACAACTATTCGATAAGATAAACAGAGACTTGGAAGCACTAACATTTTCAACAAAAGCATAATAGTTACTATGTCCTGAATAGATTTCTGACAGACTCCAACATTAATTAGCAAAAGACTATCCTATCCTTAAAACTATACAATATGTTTTATTATGTATCTTTTGGAATATAGGTACACTGGTTAAGCTGCGTGGAATTAAATTCCCCGCCCATCTCTCAACTCATGATCTCATCTCCAAGTGGAACTTTCTCTTGGTCTTGTCCTGTTACATCTAATCTCCCTCCTCCTCCAGAGCTCTCTATTTTGTTCTCTGATGTTTTGTATTTGGCTTGCTTTCTGCCTTCATCTTTTCTTGTTTATTCTCTCTAATCCCATTCCCTTTGTCTACTATCACTCTCCCAAATAGGATAGCCACCTACTTATCTCCTTTCTCTAGCTGAAACAAACTCATTTTCAGTTTCCTGATGCCCTATCAACATTTTTATCTGCACCTCTGGTGACATGGAGCTCTCTACACACAGTAACAATGTGGGTGCACTGCTCATAAGCTAACTGCTGTCAGTCTGGTGTGGAGTCAGACTGAGTCTCCAATTCCATGTAGGTTTGACTCCCATCCAGGAGGGTTGGGATTCAAAATATTCATACGGCAGTATTTAGCTCATTGGGATGAGACAACAAGTTGGTAACAGATAACACGCATGGTGGGAGGGAGATGGCTCTGAAAGTATACACGCCAGCCTGCTATAAGTTTCAGCGCCTTATATGCCTGGTCTGCAGGTGTGCATAAGAAAACAATACAAAAACCAAGGCAGAGGCTCTGAAAAACATATAGGCACATTCTTATTTCCTGGAGCATTATCACTCCCCACCTCACTAGTCTACCTTAGTTGTCATCAGCCTCAGCTCACTAGCTTCTCCCTTTAGTAGCAATTCTAATAATTACAGCAACTGAGCTCACAGCCAACATGGTGGTTTCTGGCAAGTGCTCTGCTCTGCCACGTGACAGACCTGGGTTCTGTAGCTAGGTTCCATCTCGTTTCCTGACCTCAGGTACCAGGAACACCTTTAAGAGAATTTGACTGTAGGGGAGAACATGATGCATGACAAACTAAGCTTAGAACAAAATAAATGACATACAAGAGATTCTCATCATTGAACGAGTCCCAGACCAGAAAATGGCTTCCTGCAAGAAAGGACTATGAAGAGTGTAGGAAATTTTTTGAGGAAGCAGAAGCCCTACTCTACTATTGTAAGCTCTTACCTTGAACATCTGGATCATCCATGTGCTCCTGCAAGGTTTCCAGCACCTTTTTTATTTCGCTACTAGCAACACAGTTATTACACAAAGCCTCTGATACAGAGCAGCCGTCTTTATGCATCTCCGTCTTGGACTGAAGCAACTCCAAATCCTGGCTTATATCAGGGAGAGGTGGGCGCCAGTATAGGAAAGTATTAAACACATCCTCAGCAGACTGGACCCTTGAGTTCATTCCCTGGCAGTTGCTGACTTGACAGTCTTTAATGCCCTCTATTACACAAGCAGCAATATTGTCACCGTGAGACAATCTAGTTAGATCTTCTTCGGGATTAGCACAGCTCACTGAACTTGCTTCCTCTGTGTCTTTATTTGGGATTTGAGTGCAGAGCAAAGGGTTGACTTCAGAATCACTCATTGAGGGAAGTACAGTTGATTTTACTTCCATTGGTTGTTCTGAACTAATAACAGAGATGCATGATTAGCAGAACAAATAAAAAGTCCTAAGACCATACTTTCCAGGTAAATGCTTTATAAAAAGACAACAGCAATTAAAATAATTGTAGTTATTCTATTTGAGATAAATCCTACTTTAGAACTAATTGTTCTACCTCTAATACAATACAACTCTCCCCTTCCCAAATTATTATTGAAGAAACATTAAAGCATAGACTAGATTTAAATTACATGCCAAGACAAAAGACTGAAGTTATCCACATTTCATACTGTTATTAAAACTGTATTATCAAGTCCCTGTATTAGTCCTGTGTTGCACACAGGGCCACAACAACTAAAACTGTAGAACTGTAGGAAAAGGATCGTGTCAGTTTCTCTCTCCTCCTCAAAGGTTTTACCTTGGGGATGAATTGTTTGCACTGGAGCATGGTATATTTGAAATACTGCCTGCCTGGCAAGAATTGGAAGCGCCATCCTGGGCTGCTGGTCGAATACTCAATGTCCCATCCTCCCGAATGTAAAGGCCAGCACTAGAAGGGTTTGCAAAGGTAGAAATAAATGGACCAAGAGACTGAAAAGCAGCTTGGCGAACCTGGGGTAGTATAAAAAAACAACAACAAAAAAAAAACAAACCAGTGATATATTCAGTAGTAGTGCTGCTACCATACTATTAAAACTGAAACATGGAACTTGGTTCAACCTTTTCTGTTACTGAATTAATGTACAAGAAAAGGTTTTGGCATTGCAATTCACCACTTAGCAGGTCTTTGCTTCATATATTATTTTTCATAATAGCATTTATAAGGAAAAAGCTAGGCAACAGATCAAAGGGATTTAAGATGTAAAGTGTGTGCCTAAAATATAGAAATCATTTACCTGTAAAATGACTGCATGATTCAAATAAAATCATTTTTTTCACTGGCTTAATCCAAATCCCACATTCCCACCAATACTACAATGAAAGTTCTTTTTCTATTCCTACATAATTTTTTAAAAGCACTGTCCTCAAATTTGAGCAACCAAAATTTAACTCCAAACCCCTAAGGAGGGCATCTTACATTTCTAAAACAGAGAAATCAAGAAGAATACTAAAACATTTAACTGTGGTCCTAACACCCTCAGCTTTCAGTTTTTGATGGCAACCAACAAGCCTACACACTGGACCTTGTTCTCTAATTACCCAAGCATTAATTTCTACAAATCTATGAGGGTGGGTGGGTGTGAAACTGGGTATATAGGATGTTACAGGCTTGTGGTCTCCAATACTCTCCATTTGAAGATCCATGACTAAGAATTTCCACAGGTTCCTCATGTGGACATGGAAACCTTTAGCACTCAGTCACCACTAATCAACCCCCTTAAAAGCTATTTGAAACAGAAAAGTGTGTTTGCTTAAGTTTAAGTCACAGGTATGTCAATGAACCTATTCCTTCCTTACCCATCTGCAGGGGTCGCTGATAAGATTGATAAAGAGGGGTGACAGCTTACTCCTCCGAACTTCTGGGGAAGTAGTGTAAGACACTGCCATAAAGCACTCAGCACATGCTTTACGCATTCCCCAAACACTGTCAGAGCAGAGTTCAAAAAACTTTGGAATCTGCCAAAAACAAGTGAAACCATAACTAATCAAACAGAAACTGCAACTTAGACAGCATAGATGACAGTAGTTCACATAAAAGAGGGAAGTGAGAAGAAGAGGAGAAGGATGTGGAAGAAGTGTCTAAGAATAAATTAATTGAAAACTAAAAACCCTCTTTTTACCCCACTCATTTCAGTGTAGCCTAGACTATCATTCAAGTTAAACAGATTAGAGAAGGACAAAAAATGATAAAAAGGTTATTTTTTCTTAAAGCCCATGTTGGCATAATGCTAACTTATTAAGGCTGTGAATATAATTCCTTCCAGATTGGGCAAGAAGTGGCACAGTCAGATAAGTTTTAAAATATCAACGGGCTTTCAGCTGTGCTTCCATTTGAAAAGCAAAGTCTTGCTACTCAATCCCAGCCTGGAGTCTCATTTGGAAACTAGGTCCAAACAAGTCAACCATTAAGTTTTGTTGAAGAGAAACCTTTGCAAAGAGATGAGTAACTAGCAATTTTTTAACCAGTCTAGTAACAGGAAAATAGCCAACCAATAGCAGAAAGTCACCAACTATGATTACAGGTTGTGTTCACACAAAATACAAATCCTTTGAATTATGCCTCTGAGGTTTACATACCAAAAACCTCTCTGTGGCATCTTGTCCAACTGCATTACAGATATCACCAAAGTTGGCTGCACAAATCTGAAAAGAGAGAGGAAATTATAGGTGAACTTGAAGGCCACTAAGATTAATTTGATTTTTGCTGTGGATTTGGGGGAAGAGGGGAGGGGGAGGCAAATTTCACCCCATATTTTAGTCCTTAAGTACCAATTTGTATTTGATAATTTGTGTTTCTCTAACTTAATCATGCAAGTAAACCCTGCAAGCAGTGAAGCCTCACTCCTGGATACAGATTCCTTAGGTAGGCCTCCATGGTCCATGCATGGTATCACTGAATTCAATGTTTGGGTGAATCAACGCATCTGTGAAAAGTCCTATTCATTTCAATCAGCTCCAGATGGTTTGAAGGAACTTGTCACTTGAATATTTGAATGACTTGAGCAGAGACTGCCAAAAATGGTGCAGAAGGAAAAGGTATTACATACATATCAGGACTCAAATGTACTGACAGGACTGTGATTTTGGCCAGTTTCAGTCAGTGATTAAAGTTGAATATTTTGCTGAATTAAGATTCCAACTAGTATCATTCACCCCATGAGTTCCATAATTCAAGCAAATAAGGAAGTTCTTCAGTGTAGAAAAAAAGGAGCATAAGAAACATAGCTCAAGTCTAAAATCATTTTACCCATCAATGGCAGGCTTAAAGCTGATTTGCACAGATGTTAAACGTGAGACCGTGTAAGTACGTTTGAAAGAGTTCAGTTATGAAACTAGCCATGCCAACCTTACGGACTTGGAACAGCTTCCCATCGCCACACAGCTCACAGAAACGGGGAAGAAGTATGCGTTCAACAGTTGTTTTGCTCAACATAGAAGCCATTTTACAGATGATCTATAAACAAGGAGAGGGAAAAAACAAAACATAACTCTTAGTCCTGTAACAGTACTCAATTTTGGTTCTAGTTTACTTCTAAAAGGTCAGTTTTGAAAGCAAAAGTTAACTAGTTCCTAAAATGCAAAATATGAACATATTTTAAAGTTTCTTTCCCTTATTTATTTTCATGCACTCATATTAGCAGCATGTTCCCAGGAGCTTTAAATAAAAAACAACAGATAAAGTATTGTTGTGCCTGAGCATAACACTTCTGCACCAGCAGACAGACTGCAGGAAAACTGTAAAATGACTGCACGGAATAAGTTAGTTAGAAGACAGTGTACACTGCTTTATACAGGAGTTCTCAAACTAGGAAGTAGTGTGCGCTACATGTTTTATAGTGTGCACTACACGTTTGGCTCCTGACAGCTGAGAATAAAACCAAACAAAACAAAAACCAAACAAAACAGCGTTTTACTGGAAGAGGAAGCACGTTAGTTCAACACGACTCGCCCAGCTTCTGTATAAATTGCGCGCTTCAGCAGTGCTTTTTGGCGCTTTTAGCTAAAGTTGATTCAACCAGCTATTACATAAAAGTGCCAAAAAGCCCCACTGGAACATGCAATCTATGCAGATGCCAGGCAAGCCAGGTCAAACTACCACAACGCATCTTCTGGGCATGTGCTGCACTCGGCACAGGGGTGCGTGGAGCTGAAAGTAAAGCACCATTTGTTTGGTTTTTTCCACGTCTGTAAGTAACCTTAATATTTCTGTCACAGTGTTACGTGTCCTACTGTGCCAGCAACCCTACAAAACCATGTTCTTGAAAACAGTGTGTTTGCATGCTTAATGCTAAGCATGCAAGTAGTCTCCCTGGCTTCAGCAAGGCTTGAAATTTAGAAGAGGCATAGCTGTTTGCAGGATCAGAAGACAAAAATACAATAAACAAGTTTGCCAAACAACAGGAGAGAAGGGGAAAGAAGGATTAAGCTCATAAAAATAAGACAACATGATTATATACATTACCTAGGGCACATCTCTTGGAATTCACATTCAATTACCTGCCCGTATATAAAAATTTTGGCTCATAGAAAAGAAAAAGAAAAATCATGCATTCATTAGATTTGAGCTCCTTTATCTGAAAAGCAGTTAGTTTCAACAGTAACCATAAACCACAGATTATCAGTAGCATTTACTTTAGACACAGATGCTTTTTCAGTATGCACGAAGATCCCTGCACTTGCAACTAGAGAAAAGTTTGGGAGAGGGAGGACCCACTGCTTTGCACACATCTTTCCACTGAATAGCTCTGTTGGATGAAGCCGAAAAATCACACGCTGAGCCAAAGACTATTGGATTAACAGAGCATGAAAACATTTTTTTAATTTAATATTTTCAAAGAAATATTTCTCCCTCTATAAAAATAGTCCTCAGTCCTAGGAATGTTCTGAATTTTGTAACAAATTGTCAAATAAAAACTCCATGATTCCTTTTCTTTGCAATGGTCAAACCTTCAGAAAGACATCTGATAGCCAAATGTCACCCTGGAAATCTGCCAAACAAAGGCAATCTAGATAGTAAAGCTGTTTTACAAGTCAAGTGCTGACAGGTAGTCACACACCTTTATAGTTCATAGAACCAAATTTGATTTCACACAAATAAATAGAAAATGTTTTTTTCAATCAAGAATTCTTGATGAAAGTCTTGAGATTTAAAGACTTCCCAAATCATTCAAACTTTTCTGCAAAGTTAATGAGACCTAAAGTAGAGCCCGCACCACTGATGAGGCTCCATGTGGCTCCCATGTCCTACACTTCACTTGCCTTTCCAAGACAGACATGCGTATACTGGAAAGAGAAGGAAGCAACAAGAATTATCAGAGGCCTACAGAACATGATATATAAGGAGAGGTTAGAAGAACCTCTAGATTAGTTAGTCTGGAGAAGAGAAGACTAAGGGGGGGTGAGGGGGAGGGAAACAGTCTTCAGATACAGAAAGATTTTTCTAGAGGATGGCAACCAAGTATTCTGTGTCCACAAGCAGTAATTGGATTAAACTGCAATAAGGGGAATTTAGATTACATGTTAGGAAGACACCCTCACTCTAAGGGTCGTTAAGTACTGGAACAGATAACCTCTCAAGAGATTGTAAAAAGTGCATCACTGAAAGTTTTAAAGTTCAAGTTAAGCAAACACTTCACTGGAATGGTTTAGACATGAGTGATTCTGCCTCAGTCTCCTGAGGTACCTTCAGCCAAAATTTATTATGTCACTGAAACTTGGAAAAAAAAACCCGTTTGCAAAAATTACAACCTTTGCAACAAATTAAAGAAAGCTGCCAAGCACCTTCATCATGTGGCTTTATTTTATTTTCCCCCCTAGATTTTAACAATCTTTTAGCAGCTTGAAAATAAAAATGCTCTCTCCGATTCTAATCTTTTCATAAAAATGCCAAACACTTGTTTATCTCTCTATGTATTTAGCTGAACTTCTAATTTACAGCTTTTGTTGTTTGCATTCTGTGCGCACGTATGTATGTGCGTGTGTGCGCGCGCATGCCAGCTACCTGTAATGTCAGCATTACTCTTAGACTGTAGGTTGACTCTTGTTGCAGCTTCAGACGAGGGAAGACTAGTTTCCACACACAGTTCTTGTTAAAGCTCTACTTCCCAGTGACTTTAAATATAGAAAAATATCCCTCTGTGACAGGTTAAGGCCAGTTACTCTATAACGTTAATGTAGCCCATTTGGAACCTATATTTGACCATGTCTCCATTTTAAAAAAAGATCTCACAACAAACACACGGCTATAATCTGAAACAGCAGTTCTGAATACCACCCTGTGGTACTGGGAAGGACTGAGAAACAAGTCTTTCTTTATCAGGAAGAACATGCGTAATAGAAGAAATAAGAAAACAGTGACAGTACAAGAAGAACTGCACGAAGACTCCACTTAACCAGTTCACATCTAAACTTTTAAACTTCTTTGGTAAGTAAAGTCCAGGTCTCAAATCCAGGCACTGACAAATCCCATGTCTAAATAAGGGATACAACACAACTCCCTCCCCACTCCACTTCTTCCTCTGGCACTTACATTTACAGCTTCCACTTTGTACTCATCATCACTGTCTGGGGCCGAGAGGTCCAACAGAATTGGACACACCTTATTTTCAACATCATTTTGAAAGACGAGGTCTTGCTCCAGCAATACCAGCAGTGCTTCTTGACCTGCTTTTCTAACCTTGTGACATGAAAAGGAGCAAATACCACACACTTTAAAGAAGTATTTTACCAGTACCTGAGAACTGTAAGACTAAAAGGTGAACATTTTTAAGGAACAGAGTGCAGTAAGTATGAGAAGCTACCATTTAACTATCTAAAGTATTAATAATCAACACAAAACAAAAACGTATTTTAGTAAGATATTAAAATAGACAGCCTTTTAAATCAAACTTTGGGTAGAGTAAAGAGCTAAACTTAGAGCCAGATATAGAACTCATCTCTAGAATCATTCCTATTTCCTGGTTCATTTCTATCTAGGGGGAATGATAAAGATTTCTTTTGTTAAGTATTTTAAGAGCTATGGATGAAAAACACTATTTAAGATCTAGGTATTATTAACTAACAGAAAACGCCTCCCTATTATTTCCTTCTCCTGTCCTAAGAAAGGTCACCATGCCAGTCTAAAGTAACTATGAACAACCTGAAGTTTCCTACCTGATTGTTAGGGTCAGTGAGGTACCTCACTACAATAGGCATAAGATACTCAGAAAATGCTGTTGGAAAGTTTGGTCGACTCTCTTGCAGAAAAATAGAAATGGGAGGTATCTGTTCCATCAGTTCTGTCCGTACAGTTGGCTCTGGCAGCATAAAGAAAATCAAAGCTGTTTCAAGTTGGTTCAAAATTAGAACCAGGCATGTTCAATAAATGACATTTTCTAATGTGAAACTGTATACATAGTAAATAAATGAAGACACTAAATGTTGACCTTTTCAGAATCTCAAAATTTAACAGCGTTGAGAAACTTCACACTCAAATATAACCTCCTGGCTCCAGAAGATCAGGATATTTTTCAGAGAAGTCAGATATTAATAATGCACTGAGTTACCAAACCATGAGCCTATGCAAACCAGATGGTGACATGCACAACTGCTCCTTAAAAACCCCTTGTACAAGCCTGTGCAGCAACAGTGCACAGAAACAAGACACACATTTTGCCTCCATAAATATATAGCTAACTTCTTTCAAAAGCTGGGGTTTTGTGCCTGACTACTTTTCTTTAAAGCGTATTTGTAGGAACACATTTTTTACCCATGACTGAGTGACTGTAAAACTCCCTAATAGCCTAAAAGAAGCGATACATATTATTTTTCATATGGTTTTCTGTTTTGATATGATGTCCTGGATAGTTTTCATCTTCTGAAAAGCATCCAGAACATCAGGTACACTGGAATGATGCAAGCAATATTTAGCACTTAGATATCTGAAGTTCTGTAAGAACGTCAAGGTTCACAAAGCCCTGTGACGCAGAAAAGCATTCACATCTGCTTCCTGTGCTTTGCAATAACCTACAACTCAATGGCTAAATAAGTGTGCTGTACTTCCTTGACAGAGGCAACATTTAGTCTCTTCAGAATGAGAGAGAAGGTTAATCAATCACTAACATGCTGATTAACCTTTGCCTTTCCATTAATTATATAACTACAGGTTAGGAGATAATAGTTTAACAGCTACATTTTCACTGAATGGATCTTCATTGGAATTCGCTTTCCAATTATTGTGAGGGCGGACCTTTAAAAAAAACAACACACACAAAAAAGGAACACGTAGAAAGGTAAGACACACCACAGGAGAAAAGCTCTAGATATTACATTAGTTCAAACTTCTATTCAGAATGCTAGATATACAGTACAAGAGAATGATCACAAGGAAGTTGTAACATGTATATTTAATATGACATGTAAGCAAGAATCACCATCACAACCCTGTGTTAATGCAATATTAAAGCTGCAGATTTAAATATCAAAACTTCATGAAATTCAAATGTAAAGCTCTCCAATCAAAGTCAATTCCCTCATGATCTGAGTGAAGTTTTTTTACATTTTTTTTTTTTTTTATCTATACTATGCTATGTATGGAAAGGTTTAGGGAAATAAAACTTTTTAAACCTAGATTCCTAAATGTGAGTAATTAGATCCCTTGTTACTACTTAACTGATGGCCATAATCTTCAGAGGGGCTGAAAACCTACTGCTCCAGTTGATTTCAATAGAGCACAAATACTTTTATCCTGAACTCAGAAGCCTTACTCTAGGTTTAGAAGATGGCATTTTCAAAAGTAAATAAGCAAGCCAAATACCCAAATTCTACTGATTTATAATGAGATTTGGACACTTAACTACTTAAAAGAGAAAAAAAAAGGTTGGCTAGGTGACTAACTTTTAGGTATTTGAGTTAAAATACTTAAGTTTGTACATTTTTATGTACAGTACCTTACATTAATTTCTGAATTTTCTGGAGGAACAGAACCAGCAGGGTAGTAACCAGAGAGCAGAAAACCAATTTTTGGATTGCTATGGCTCCCATCCAGCAAAGGGAATAAGCATTTCACGAAAGGACAGTCGAGCAGCTACGGCAATAGCTTAGGACTTGGAACCTCAGTTCAAGTACCTGCTCAGTCACAAAATTCCTGTATTCCTTAGGAAAAAAATCACTTATTTCTCTTTATGCCTCAGCTCCCTATCAGGAAAATAATACCACTTCCCTACCCCTCAGGGTTGTTGCGAGTGTAAATACCTTAAAATGTTATGAGGTGCTCTGATAAGGGGGCCACGAGTACCTGAGACACTTTAAGAAAGTGGCTATCTGAATCTTGCTTATGGTAAAATACTCCTTTTTCTCTGCCTCCTCCATACAAGAGTCAGGGATGAAAGACATATTCCAGGGTGGGCAATTATCTGGCCACATAGGGTGTTTTGGTGAGCTGTCATTGGCTGGTCAACACCGCCTGCCCTCGCCCACAATGGGATGGGGCTGTGATCATGTAGGGAGTGGAATCACATGGCAGTAACAGCATGGGAGTGGAACTTAGCGCCAGAGCCCAGGGCAGAGCCATGACCTGCTTTCCACATGTCCCTACAACAGGTGCCGGTTCCACAGGCAGAATATACATGTGTTACATGTAAGAGTATCACAAGGAGCTGACTGCAGCTCCGCCCTGGGCCCCAACCCCACACTATCACTGCCCTGCAATCCTGGGGCCTCAGGATCTTGGGGCCATGACAGTATGGGGCCAGGGCCTGGGGCAGAGCCACAATCTGCTCCCCACATGTCCCGCCTGTGGAACTGGTGCCCACTCCAGGGATGGGTGGGGAGCGGATCATGGCTCTGTCCCATGCCCATACTGTTACCATCCTGCAATCCTAGCCCCATCCGCCCATCCTGCTCCCTGTCCACCCATGGCCCCATCCAATCCGCAATGCCACACGGGTCCCAAGCCAATCTTCTGCTGCCTGCCCACTCCATCTGGTGTGCCTAGCAATGACTGCAGGACGGATGGGCTGGGGTGCCTGGGCAGCAGCAGCCACGGAGACTAGCAGAGGGGCAGCAGCATATTCAGCAACAGCAGTGGAGACTGGCAGCAGCAGCAAGAAGGGACTGCCAGGAAGCAAGTCCAGCCGTTGCTCCACCCCAGCTCCACTATGTGCACTAGGGACTGCTCCCTACACTGGGCCAGGAAGGGCCAAGAGGCTCATTGCAAGCCAGACAAAATCCTTTGGAGGGCCAGATTTTGCCCACCCCTAAGATAAAGGTCCACTGATAGGCCAAGCTATTGCAGTATCACATAGCAGAACTGACAGCAGCTACCACACCTTTCAGTTGGTAGCAGATGCTGCATAACTCCAAAGACAGAAACATCTCTATGAAGGAATAAAGAAAGGCCACACCATGTTCAAGGTGCAAAGGCCTATCCTTTCTGTTTAACAAAATGTTGCATGATATTTATCAGTGAAACAAAGTAGGCTATCATGTCTAAACGGCAGTTTCTTAAATAAGGGTAAAAATTAAAAAAAACGAATCTCAAACCTGCATCTTCGGACAGTCTGACCGCTATCTCCATTACTGTCAAGAAATCTTCTTCATTATTACTGAAATCTCGAAAGACATCAAGTAGGCCTCTGGCAATAATCTGTCTGTGAATGGACAACATATTGTATACCTTAATATCCTGCTGACACATCAAGAATTAGGGGATAAGAAGAAGAACATATCAGATGTGGGCAACTTAAAGGTATGGCCAATCTTGTTTTATACGCTCTAATGTTCAAACACATGTATGCAACATGCCTATACCCGAAATGGAAAATAAAATTGAATATCTTAAAGATGACCAATACTGAAAGAGACTATAATATGTAAACAACCCTGTTTTTAATTAACTAGAAAAAACATTAAATATGCAATTGAGAAAAAAAAAAAAATCACAAGAGTTACAGTAACTTAGCACTTTTTCTTCATTTCAAATCCACAGAGTCAGTATCAGAATACCAAAAGATATTAATAGAATGCCTAGGCAACTGACAAGAGTGGGGAGAAAAGGAGAAACTCCTATTGTGGTTTTAAGGATAAAAATCTAATGATCAAGTCCTTACCGATTAAATATATTATCACTAAAAGCATACTTTTCCAGACGAGCCAGTGGAGCCAAGTTATCCTGTCCTGGAATGTCCAAGAATGCAGTTATCCTCATGCTATCACAGTCTGGTCCATAATCTTCAAACCCAACTTAAAAGAGGGGGAAAATAAAGCATCAGCAGAAGAAGAAATAAAAGAATTAAGTACGCTGGCACAGCAGCACTGGCCACTTTTAGAGAAATTCTGCACACAGTTCTCTCTCACTAACAAATACTTAGAGGACACTAATCTTCATGTTATTTTAAAGGCAGGCAATGCAAAGTGGCTCAGTTACCAAAATAAAATTTCCTCATATTGTGCATATACATTTGGGAACTTTCCACTGCAGAAATACAAACTATTTTCCTCTCTCTATGCATGTGTATTTTTGTTGTTGTAATTTAAAATTCATCAGCACTGTCCCCACCAAAGGACAATGCCAAAGTGTGCCCTTCAGTCCTATCTGCCCCAGGGCAGGCTCCAGTCCTTTTATGGCTCCAGTCTGGCAAACTCCAGATGGGGTCCACCTTTTATGGGTCCAGCTCTATATGAATCTTAGCAAGAGGCCTGTTGTAAGGGTGATTGGAGAGCCTGTCATCATTATTTGCAGGGGTTAG